TTTTGGAGACAGGGTCTCCCTGTAGCCCCAGTTGGCCTGGAACTTGCTATGTAGACCAGGCTGGCCTTGAACGCCAGGCTGCAATTAACATTTTATTTTTTTAAATTACAGTGGCAAAGATAATTTTTCATAAACAAAGAAGTCAATATTAACTCTGTTAGAGTACAATGGTGCATGTCTTTGATCCCAGCATTCAGGAGGCAGAAGCAAGATGGATCTCTGTGAGATCAAAGCCAGTCTGGTCTATACAGTGAGTCAGTGAGTTCTCAAAAACAAACAAACAAAAAAAACCTGTTGGAAAATTGGCACCCAGCCTAAGATTGACTTATGAATTCAAACATCTGAAAGAAGTAAATGACAAAAAGATGATCAATAATGCATTTAAAATTTAATTTGTGAGGCTGGAGAGTTGGCTCAGTGGTTAAGAGCACTGGCTGAGGCAATTAATATTTTTGCAGAGGACCCAGGTTTGATTCCCAGAACCCACAAGGCAGCTAACAACCTTCCCTAACTCCAGTTCCAGTGGATCCAATGCCCTCTTTGACCTCTGCAGGCATTGCACGACAGGGGTACACTTACATACATGCTAGCAAATCACTCAAACACATAACATAGTTTTTAAAATAGAATTTAATTTGTGGCGTCTGGAGAGGTAGCTCAGTGGTTAAGAGCATTGGCTGTTCTTGCAGAAGACCTGGATTATGGTCTCAGCACTCATATGGCAGCTAACAACCAGTTATAAACTCCAGTTCCAGGGGACCCAACGCCTTCTTCTGGCCTCTATAGGTACTGCACAACATGGGTGCACTTTACATGCTGACAGACCATTCATACACATAAAACAAATTTTTAAAATTAAAAATTAAAAATTAATTTTTTAAAAAGACTTTGATTTATGGTATTGGCAAGATGGCAAAGGAGATAAGGATGCATGGTGCCATGCCTGTATTCAATCCCAGAATCCCACAGAGTAGAGAATTTATTTCTGCAAATTGTCCTCTGTCCTCTGACCTCCACAAGAGTGCTGTGATGCACACACATACAGACTAAATAGCTAAAATAAAATAAATGTAAAAAAAGAAATATTTAAAGAATTTAATTTGTGTAAAATGCATTTAGCCTAAGGATCAGGATTCTTTACTTCAGACATATAAATACACTCATAAGATCATTTCCAGAAGGGGCTGGAGAGATGGCTCAGCAGTTAAGAGAACTGACTGCTCTTGCAGAGGGACCCGGGTTTGATTCCCAGCACCCACATGGCAGCTACAAACCGTCCTTTAACTCCAGTTCCAAGGGGGATTCCAAAACCCTCTTCTGACCTCCGCAGCATCACCCAACATAGGTGCACTTACTTACATGCAAGAAATACACTCATACACATAAAATAAAAATAATAAAAGATTTTAAAAAGCCAGGCAAGGTGGTGCACACCTTTAATCCCAGCACTCGGGAGGCAGAGGCAGGTGGATCTCTGTGAGTTCAAGGCCAGCCTGGTCTACATAGTAAGTTCCAGGACAGCTGGGGCTACAAAGAGACCCCGTCTCAAAAAGACAAAAAAAAAAAAATTATTTCCAGAAAAGACATTAAGAAAAAGGTTACATCCTAAAATAAATTAAAATATACTGAAAGTGATGTAAGAATATCAAGACAAAGTTATGTCCGTTCCATATTTAAAACTGTACAGCAAATGACCCAACCCTCTATCATATTAAAAACATATAGATTGCTTGTTGCTGAAGGTCAAAGCAAGTAAAATGGGAGAGAACTACTTTTTTAAATAAGAATAATTTTATTGTGTCAGTGAAATGGTTCAGTGAATAAAGGTGCTTGCTGCCAAGTCTGACACCTGAATTTCATCTTCAGGATTCACAGAGTAGAACAAAATCAAGTCCTGCAAGTTGCCCTCTAACGTCTATGCATGTGCATACATACAGATTAGATCAGATCAGATTAGAGAGAAACAAAATACCAAACAAGATATGCCTAGGAGAGGTGGAAAAAGAGAATTAAAACACACTCCTTGGCTAGTAAATAAGAAAAATATTAACGATGAAAGAAAAGGAGAGGTTTTAAAGACCCTAAGTTTTCTAAACAAAACAAGTAAACAGAAAGATTTAAAACTTAGCCATGAATGGTTAAAAGAAGACAATGCATACAGGAGCTAGGGATGGGCTTGTGTGCCCTGAATGGGATATTAATTTCATTCAACATTTATTGCATTTGTACCTTCTCTCCAGTGACTTACACAGTGACAAAGTATATGTTTGATGTTTGCTCTGGTTTCCAAGGGCTCTGACACAACATTAATAATGGGCTAAAGATTTTAGGAGAGAAGGAGAAAAAGAACCCAAAGAAAATGAATCCACAAGATTTCTGAGCTTCCATGACCTTGAATTTATAGTGATCTCACAAATTAATGCAGTTCTTATTTTATGTTTGTTTGAGATTTTTTTTTAAATGGTTTTCACTTTTGTTTACAGATTCAGAAATTAATACTGAGCACAAAATAATATAAGAAAATCTGATGAATTATTCATGGACTTTGGACTAAATGCTTCCACTCACTTCATGTTCTCAAATAATAGTCTCATATAATTACCACAGCTGTGGAGTGTGCTTACCCCACCTACCTTCTTAACCACTAAATGTCACTGAAGGAGAAAATACAACACACTTTTGTGTGAAGTATTCTTTGATTAAACTGATGGCAAACTTTAAGATTCTCATAAAAGACTGTTCCTACATACTACTTTAAAAGTATGCTTATAATACAAAATGCAAATTCTCCAAAAGTGGAACAATGCAGAAGGCAATTACAATTGTCCATCTAGTAGCCAGGGCTCCCTCATTCTAAAAAGACAGCAGTTTGGGACAAAACAAAAATATATTTTTCTTTAAGACACATATTCTCAGGGCTGGCGAGATGTCTCAGCAGTTAGAGCACTGGCTGTTCTTGCAGAGGACCCAGGTTCAGTTCCCAGCACCCACATGGAAGCTAACAACTGCCCTTAACTCAAGTTTCAGAGGATCTGACACCCTCTTTTGGCCTCTGCTGGCACTGCATGACACAGGTGCACTTACCTGCAGGTAAAACATTCACAAACATAAAAAAAAATTTTTTTTTTTTTGAGACAGGGTCTCCCTGTAGCCCCAGCTGTCCTGGAACTCACTACATAGACCAGGCTGGCTTCGAACTCACAGAGATCTGCCTGCCTCTGCCTCCCAAGTACTGGGATTAAAGGCATGTTAGTTCAAGGCTAGCCTGGTCAATGTAGTGAGTTCTAGGCCAGTTGGGGCCACAGGGAGACCCTGTCTCAAAAAGACCAAAAAAAAAGTAAATAATTTTTTTTTCAAAGCCAAAAAAGATATAACATTCCTTCACAATTTAAGGATGAGGATAGAAGGAAAAAATGTATGCCATGTCCTAGAATGTAAGATTTATAGTATTAAACAGTTTAAAATGTGTAAAAATAATAAATGTAGTACTTAAGATAAAATGGCACTATCATTAGAAAGGTAGAAAACACAACTGGTGAGATGGGTTAACAGGTAAAGGCACTTGTTGCCAAGGTTTATGACCTGAGTTTGTTCCCCAGGACCCACATGGTAGGAGAGAATTAATTCCTGAAAGTTGTTCTCTGATACCCACATTCACTGTGGCATGAGCCCCACCCCCCAACAAAAAAGTAATAAAAGTAGAAAACATCAGAGTTAATAAATCTGCTTCATATCACTAACATTATCTCTAATTCACAATGTCAGACTTAGAACTCTACTAGATGACAAAATCCAGCCATTTAAAACACATTAGTCAAAATTATGACAAAAATCTTAATAGAGTAACTATAATTTAAGGGTTTCTGTTTTTAATAATACTGTAACACACATACCCATCCATCTTACTAGCAATACAAAAGTATGGAAATGAGCAATTTAACTCTATCATAAGCTGATATAAAATATACAGAGGGGGAGAGAAAGGAGATGGGGAAACAGGAAGGAGGAAAACCATCACAGTTTATTACCTAAAACACCTGTTAAAATCAAATATTTCTATGCTGGGTACATCTTTAATCCCAGAATTTGGAAGGCAGAATCAGGCAGATCTCTATGAGTTCGAGGCCAGCCTGGTCTCCATATGGAGTTCCAGGCCAGCTCCGGCTTCAGGGAGATTCTGTCTCAAATAGACAAAAGAAAAGCCAGCATGGTGGCATAGGCCTTTAATCCCAGCACTCCAAGGCAGAGGCAGATGGATCTCTATGAGTTCAAGGCCAGCCTGGTCTACATAGTGAGTTCCAGGCCAGGCCCCACTACAGGGAGACCCTGTCTCAAAAACACCAAAAAAAATCAAACATTTCTAGCACTTAATTTTGCCTTATCATCATATAATTACAAGTCACTCTTTATTTAGAGGTAGAGAGAACCAAACCATGCCTACTACACCATATCTATAAAGTCGTATGACTTATTTTTCTGTATTTTTATAGTCATCTCTTTAAAAATTTAAGCAAAGGAGAAAATACAGAGGTGGGCAGTGGAGAAGGGGAATAAATTATGACAAAAAACAATGATATTTATGAAAATGCCATTATGAAGCCCATTACTTTGTATGCACACTTTAAATTTTAATTTTAACCATATTTTAAGTATGAAAATGCTCAGCAAGAAGTGATATCTTTAAAAATTCACCTCATCATTAATGTTAAAATTTTGTGGTGTGATAATTTAATAGAGTATTACAAAGAACAAATTAAAACATACCTGGTTCATTATAGCCTTCTCTTAAGTACTGAATAAGACAAAAAATAAATCTTGGAAGGACGAATTCAGACATCATCAATAAGTCTTTGGGGACACAGGGAATATTTGAACTTGATTTAATCTGATGTCTTTTGCAAAACCTGTAATAAACAGAAAAAAGAACTAAGAAAAAGGAAAAAAAAGTAATAATATCCAGCCAGCCAAAAATATATTACTTTTATTTACAATATTCACAAACAAAATATAAAGCAAATACAAAAGCCAGCATAATACTTCATGATTTTTAGAGAGCCAGGTTATTTTAAAGAGCCAAGAAATATTTCCATCCTTTATAAACCATTAAGCATAATTTGATTATATCTGAAGAATTTACATTTTCTATTTCTGACTTAACAAACTAATGATATGAGTACTTGGAGTTTATTTTAAAAGTTTACACATTCAAGCTGGTGTAGTGGCGCACGCTTTTAATCCCAGCACTCAGAAAGGAAAGACAGGCAGATTTCTGTAAGATCCAGGCCAGTCAGGGCTGCATCATAGTGAGAACATATCAAAAAAAAAAAAAAAAGGCTGTAGGGATGGCTCAGTGTTAAAAGCACTGGTTATTCTTGCAAAGGAGCCAGGTTTAGTTCCCAGCACCCCACATGGAGGCTAACAATAGTCTATAACTCCAGTTCCAGAGACTATGGATACCCTCTTCTGACCTCCATGGGCACTGCACAACATGTGTGCACTTACAAACAAGCAGGCAATATAGTCATACACATAAAAATAATAAAATACTTTAAAACAAAAAGTTTATGCATGTATACATTCTTGCTGATCTTCCTTATACAGTACTTCAAAGAATTATTGCCTTGTACACTTAAGCAAAAATGACAAAGTATTCTATATTCATAATCTAAATAGTTACAAAGAAGTTACTTTGTTACCAAACACAAAATTACTACATTAAACATAAAATGCCTAGGGGCCAGAGAGATGGCTCAGCAGTTAAGACTTGTACTGGCTGCTCTTACAGAGGACCTAGGTTCAGATCCCAGTACCCACATGGAAGCTAACAACCATCCTGAACTCCAGTTCCAAGGATCTGATACCCTTTTCTGATATTCCCGGGTACTGCATACACGTGATACACTTAAATACATGAGGCAAAACATTTATACACATAAAATATATAAATAAATAAATTCTTAAAAATAGCCTGCAGAGGACCCGGGTTCAATTCCCAGCATCCACATGGCAGCTACAAGCCATCCTTAACTCCAGTTCCAGGGGAATCCAAAGCCCTCTTCTGACCTCCATGGCACTGTACAACACGGGTACATGCACATGCAGGCAATACACTCATACACATAAAATAAAAATAATAAATAAAAAAAATTTTTAAATAGCCTGCTCTCCTCATTTGTGGATCCTAGCATCAAATCTTTATAAATGACTACATATCCTGATGTAACTGCATGAACCAGGAAAATGGAAGGGAACCAGGGAGGTAAAGGGAAAGAAAGAACCTGAGAGAGAATACTAGTAGGAGACAAGGCAGGTGTTACTAAGGAAGAAATGTGTAAAAGGGGGGGGGGTAGTTAAAGGGAAGGAGGAGGAGGAGAGCTATACAAAAAACTATGGGAATAAAGGGGAAGAAGGAGCCCAAAAGAGGTGGCACCATAGCATACAAAAATTATCAAGGGAGAAATGGGGAAAATGGGGACACTTAAAATGGGAAAGGTGGGGAGGGTGGATAACACAGAGAGTGAAAGAGGAAAGGAGAGAATTGTATTAGGCCAAAAAAACCTACTGAAAAATTACACATATAATATCCCTACTTGAGTCCATGAGTATAGCTGAAGACTACATAACAAGAAACAGTGCCAGACAGGAAAAACCTTCCTTTGAGTTGTTGGCCAGCATAGTCCAAGGGACTTCCAGAATTACACAGGCTATTGCCACAGTCTTTGATTACCTCCCAGAACTTGAAGGTAAGACCCTATTGCTGATGACAGGACATACTTTGGACACAGGATTTGGAGCAACGGAGCTGGAAGTGACCTGGAAGCCACCTCGCCCAAAGGCTAGCTCTCATAGCTCTGGAGAGTACTATGCAAGCTGCTAAGGGAGAACATCAATCAATGGTCCAACCCCAGCTTCAAGGCCTAAAAGCCACATCAATGACCAGCACAGTAAATTGGTGCAATAGTGACACTTTTATCTTGGGGGTAATCAACAGTTGCCTAATTGGACTTAAAGCCCACTCAATGGGAAGAAATTCATGTGGTACTGTAAACCCAGTCAAATACACATAGCTGAAGAGGTCATAAATCTTAGTTGAAGAATTACTGGTGCTGATTACTGCTGGGTGAGGAAGAGCTGATCTTCTTAAAGGGAGGGAGATATGCAGACTAGATCCCAGTGGATGAACTTGCACTGAGGGACATCTGAGGACACTAATTTTATATGGTAGATCTTAACACAAACGACAGACTGTATGAACTCCAGTGGGGGGTGCTATGGGAGGGTGCCAAAGGGGAAAGGGGTATAAAGATTATTTTCTGCATGAATACACAAAGAATTTGGATCCCAGCACCTAGGTCAGATGGTTCACAAATGCTCCAAGGGATCTAACACCTTCTTTTAGCCTCCGCAGGCATGCACAGGCACACACAAAATCTAAAAACAAAGCCTAGTCCCTAATGAGGAGGTCAAATGCCAGATCACTTCAGTCTCAGAGCAATTGCTCTGGACAGATATAATAGCTATGAAATGAAGACTTCATTAATTTGAGATTCTAAGCCAGGTGTAGTAGCACATACCTGTAGTCCCAGTATTTAAGAAGTTTGCCAGGTTTGTCATGACAGCAAAGGCTATACAGAAAGACCCTCTCTCAAAACAATGGTGATGACAAAAATTCCAATACTTGAGAGCTAGAGAGAGGAGTCAGCTATATGCTAGTTCAAAGCCAGCCTGGCCTAGATGAGATCATGTCTCAAAAAGGCAAAACTAAATAAATAGAGAACCAAATTCGTATAAAAAAATTATTTAAAAAAAATAGCCAGGCTTAGTGGTGTACACCTTTGATCCCAGCACTCAGGAGGTAGAGGCAGATGGATCTCTGTGAAATTAAGGCCAGCCTGGTTGACATAATGAATTCCTGCCCTGCTGGAATAAAGTACTTTTTAAAGGATCTCTGTGAGATTAAGGCCAACCTGGTTGGCATGGTAAATTCTTGCCCTGCTGGAATAAAGTACTTTTTAAAAGAATATGTAAATTTAGGAATTTAATATATGATCAATATAGTATCAAAACAACATAGTGAAAAGACTTAAAGAATTTTTTTTCAATTATTGGGGTGGAGGTATGTGCACATGAGTGCAGTTTCTCACAGAGGCCAGAAGCATTGGATTCCTCTGGAGAAAGACTTACAAGCTGCCCAACCTGGGAAATGAACTCAGGAACTTTGCAGGAGCAGTATACATTCTTACCTTCTGAGCCATCTCTCCACTTCCATGAAAGACTTTTAATAAATTGCTTTAGGTCAAAACTGATTATCTAAACACAAGAAGTAAATTTTATTCCACACACATTCTACCTTAAACCACACAAATATATTTCATACATACTAAAAGTAAAATGTGAAAACTCCGGCATGGGGGCTGGAAAGACAGCTCAGCGGTTAAGAGGACTGGGTCCTTTGGTCAAAAAAATAAAAAGAGGACTGGGTCCTTACAGAGGACCCAGATTCAGTTCCCAGCACCCACATGGAGGCTAACAACTGTCTGTAACTCCAGTTCCAGGTGATCTGATGCCCTCTTCTGACCTCCATGAGCACTGTACAACGCAGGTGCACTTACACACATGCAGGCAAAACACATAAAAGTAATTTTTTTTTCTGGTCTTTTTGAGACAGGGTCTCCCTGTAGCCCCAGCTGCTAGATTCACCATGGAGGCCAGGCTGGCCTCAAATTCACAGAGATCCGCCTGCCTCTGCCTCCTGAGTGCTGGGATTAAAGGCGTGCGCCACCACACCTGGCCAAAAGTAGTTTTTTTAATTTAAAAAAAAAAAATACAAGCCGGGTGTGGTGGCGCATGCCACACACTGAATGTGCATGGCACCAAACCTCAATGGCCAGCTTCTACTTACAAGTATGCAAGATAAAGAACAAGCTAAATGACATCACAAGAAAACAAAAAGACAAACCAAGAATGTGGAGCAATACATACAAGAAAACTGATCCAATTTCTGTAACCTGTCAGTGTCAGGGGGATCAGAAGAGCTATTCTGGGTTAAAAGAGGCTTGAAAGACTCAGTAATCAGATATAATATGTGAATACCCAGGATGACCTGATTATGAGCAAGGCACTAGTTCACTACAGTGAATTTTATTAGATATGATAGTGTCATTGTGGTAACAGAGTATGTTCATAGGTATTTGATGACATTAAGGAATTATTTGGACCAGGCATGGTAGTGTATGACTTTAATCCCAGTACTCTAGAGGCAGAGAGGCAGCCAGATAGACCTCTGTGAGTTCTAGGGCTGCCTGGTCTGCATAGGCAGTTCCAGACTAGCTAACCGGGACAGCATAGTGAAAATGGGAGGGAGGGAGGAAGGGAAAAATTTATTATTTAGGCAACTTAAGCAGAACAAAATCACAAAGTCACTGATGAATAATATGCATAAAAACTGCCGGGCATGGTGGCACAGGCCTTTAATCCAGCACTTGGGAGGCAGAGGCAGACAAATCTCTGAGTTCAAAGTCAGCCTGGTCTACATAGTAAATTTCAGGCCAGCTGGGGCTACAGGGAGAACCTGTCTCAAAAAGATTTCTTGTTGTGTTGTTGTTTTTGTTTTCAAAAAGATTTTTTTTTTTAATTCCCTTTCAGGGCTGGAGAGATGGCTCAGTGGTTAAGAGCACTGACTGCTCTTGCAGAAGACCCGAGTTTGATTCCCAGAACCCACATGGTGGCTAAAAACCGTCCTTAACTCCAGTTCCAGAGGAATCTAGTGCACTCACATACATGCAGGCAATACACTCATACACATAAAATGAAAATAATAAATTAAAAAAAATTTAATTCCCTTTCTTCCTCAAACAAAACTTAGTAAACATGTAGATAAGGGTTAATTTAAGATCTCATCCAA